GCCGTAAAAGGTGGTATTAGTGGGCAGATAATATTGCCGACGAAGACAGGGGGAGACTGGAATGGTCATTTCTGGCTTATTAGCCACCGGCAGCCAGTCATATTCAGAATCAAGTGGTGTCCCTTGTCTTTGCCGGTAATAACATTTGCCCACTGCTAGCTGTTACGGCTGTACGGGCATCTGTTGAGGCCCAAGGCAGAGCCGGACAGATGAGTTCCATTAGCGGTCAGGTAAACGTTCATCAATGAGTGTAAATATCCCATGACCTAAACCGGCGAGGCAACGAGCTCGTGACTTAATGGTTAGGGCGGTTGACTCTGATCAAAAAGGTCGCGAGTTCGAGGCTCGGGTGGGACACCATTTGGGTCTGGGTATGAATGGCTGAGGACGGCTAATAAGCCAGAAATTGCCATTCCAGTCTCCCTTGTCTTTGACGGCAATATTATCTGCCAACCGCATCCCTATTTAGGTAAAAGATCCTTCGGCACAAAAGCTGCGGCTAAGCTACAGTTCACTGGACATCTTAACTTGTTCGTGACACGCGAGAGTAATCTTTCTGTCAGGTTTCCAAACATTGCCCTAAGGAGTACGGCTGTATAAGTTGTTGCACCCTGTGTCTGACAGGGCAATATGTGGTCATACTGACAGCTTCGAAAACTCATTATTTCCAGTTGTCTACCGTCAGTTGAAATCGAATCGAGATATTACTTTGAGGTCACAACCTAGTGTTGCGTGAAGAAAGCTGGCCCTCGCTTCCACCCACATCGGGTGTCTTTAAAGGAAAAAATTGTGCGGTCTACCGAAGAACACCAAGGTTTGGGAGTAAATGTTCGCCTGAATACGAGGAACAGAAAGAAGCTATTTAAATTGCACTAAGCCTTCATTTGTTATATAGACCTTACTGTGGCGGGGGAGTGTATGTGCATTAAGTAGCCGGAAAGGTTATCAAATAAAAAAAGCAGTCTTCGACCTAACCTCGTCGATGTACTCCAGTCCCTCCAAACCACCTGGCAGAGAGTTGTCGATCCAACTGAGTGACGAAACAGACCCATCCACGGCTGAGATGTGAAACGCAGTCCCGCCGCAGGTCTCCGGTCCTACAGGAAAATGAAACGTAACTGGGGGACATAACCAGTGTTGACACAGGAACACACAAGGTTATAATAAAATCGATTAGGAATGCTGTGGTTGCATCAGGATCCCCGAAAAATTTCAGTCGGACACATTTATGGACTCAGAGCATACAAATATCTGGACATCAAGATGCTTCTTTAACCTATGTGAATCCACTAAAGCACAATAAGAAGTTATTTTTCCAGAAAATTAACAGTTGGGCTAGGTAAATGACGTTTGAACGACTTCTTCCGGCTGGATAAAGGCAACCAACCTTGTGTAGCCAGAGGGCGTCCTACTGACTATCGTGCTTTTTCGTTCGTAAAAAAAGACAAGAATCAGCATTACTCCCGGGAGAGACTTGAGCAACATCGAGCTCACCCCCTCCCTCTATCATATCCTTCCCACACCCACCGATTATAGACTTAAGGAGTGAGCATAACAGATCATAGGCCGCTAGCTTCGACGGGTAAGGCTGATCATTTACCAAAGAGTAAAAATCTCGCTGGGCTTCGACGTGCTCCCATTAGCGTACCGACCCGTTATGGGTTCGCCTATACTACGTTTCAAAATCAGCGCGTTCGACGACCGTTTCAATTTCACTGACAGGGTGTCTTAATGAAGGATTGTATTCTAACTTTGATGCTGCTACACAGAAGTACATCAAGCCTTTAACCAAATAAGGTAGATTCAGCAGGTCAGTATTTTAGAGAGACACTAAAGAGCGGCTAACCAAGAAAAACTAATTCTGTCGGGCGGATTCTTACAAAGGAAAGTGGGCTGCAGACTTTGTTACCGCTAAGTCTGAAAAGAGGGAATACAACCGGTTGAGTACCCCCGACCTCAATATCGTGAATTGGCAAAGCAAAACGCGAACCATGTTCCAGCCTTAGCGTAAGGACGTAAAAACGCAATTTTCACGTCCGGCCAAGTCTCTAAAAGTTTGAATATTTCAGAGATTCGATGTGCTAGCAGTTCATCTGCTTTTATGGGCCTTGCCACTTGTTACAGCTGTAATCATGTCTGACCTAGACACATATAAGGTTGTCGTGGATAACGCCTATACTGGAGATTGTCTGTTCGATCTCGAGACCGTGGGTCTGTAACGGCTTCTATGAATTTGGTATTTCAAAAATTAGCAGATCATGAGGCTCTAGAGATGTCTTTGACTTTTTTACAACTTACTCAAACCATGTTCGGCCGCCTACCGCACTTCCTAGGACTCCTAACTGTTCTCGGTGGACATGGTACGGTACTGATTATGAAATGAGATAAAAACTAACCGAATGGCAAAATTCAAAACAGTGACGCGTACGATTTAGGCCTAGTCCCTGGTAAATTTGGCTACTAAGTGGGAGAATCAGAATTCGCCCCGTAGTCCTCACTAGGATATTTCAGTCTTTCA